ATAGTCGTTAATTTTAAAAAGTCCATTTAATATCTTATCCCGATTACTCTTCCAGGAAGGAGGGGAAGAAAAAGGTGTTTGGAATTGCATTAGAACATAATATTTAGAACAATAAAAAACATCAGGAAAGAAAAATCAAAGTGAATAAATATTCAATCCACATGAAATACAGGAAAATAGGAGAAAATGCTGAAACCACTTTGCTGTACCATGGAGGTACACACAGTAGCCCATGATCACTTCCTAGATTACTCTTTGGATACTTAATTCAATTGGTCTTAATTGCTTATGAAGTGTGCAACACAATTAGGGCAGATTTTTCTTTGATTTAGCTCTGAAAGAAGGATGAATGGATGTAAACTCTAATCACAAACCACTGTAGGTCATTAGAGCAATTAAGAACATGGTTGCCAGTCTTGAAAATCTTTCACACAAATCACCTGCTAACCTTTGGATCCAGGTTTCAGACTTGCAAAAACTTTGGGGTTCTTAAGGGCAAGTGAGAGCTCATTGAGGAAGGAAATAAAGTGGGAGTCTCTCTCAGATTTCTTTGACTCAAAGATGACGACAATGGTAAAGTGAGGTTCTGGGCGGGTTAGGAAGTAAGTGCTCTGCACTTTGTCATCATAGAAGTGGACCACTTTCTCTAAGCTGTTCAGGTCAGACGTACGGTCCGTCATGATCATGATGACATTGGGCCAGTGCATGACTGGCCTGTCGCTGGGCAGAGACACCACAGCTGGATACTGGTCCACACCCTTAGGGGCCTCTCTGTAGGAATGGGGGTGGTGATAGCCATGACCCTGAAAGCTCTCAGAACCTCGGTTGTCAAAAATTAAGGACACATTGGCAGCATCATATTTCCTGATGAAGCTGAAAATCTTTCCAAAAAGGTCTGGGTTAGCTTTTGCAGTCAACGTTTTCATTTCTGAAGCAGTCGTTTGTCGGCTCAGCGCCTCATGAAAGTAAAAGCTGAACTTGGCAAGGAGCATGTTTTTGAGTTTCATCAGCCAAAGGAAAAGGTGTGGGGGCTGGACAGCCTTCTGAGACTGCCCTCCAAATAGATGTTTCTTGGTCTCCCGCTGCTTTTCAAAGATCTGGCCC